AAAAGAAAGGGGCAAACTCTTGACCCCCCTTCTGATGAAATTAATTTGAGTAATCAATTTGATTTGCTCACGGATGATGAGAATGATCTATCATCCAAGAAAAATTCTAGTAAACTTTCCCGGCTTAATGCCAAGAAGGAAAAGATTCCCCCTATTGTGATAACCACTACCGATTTCCATGCTCTTCGCATGGAACTTTTGAATTTCGTGAAAGTTAAGTTTTCACTACAAATTGGACGTCGGGGTGAATGCCGTGTATTGGCTGAAACCTTGGACGGATTTAAATGTCTTCTCAAGTATCTTACTGAGAAGAAGCACAATTTTTTTACTTACGACACCAAAACTGAACGTGTGTTCAAGGTTGTCATGAAAGGACTGCCCAGTGGTGAATCCATGGATCAGATCAAAGATGAACTGGCAAAATTACTTGGAGTTGTGCCACTCCAAGTAATCAAAATGAAAATGAAATCCCGTCCTGGCGATTCGCGCAACGGGATTTCTAATGATTTTTATTTAGTTCACTTCAAGTCTAGTGAACTAAACAATCTTAAGGCCTTAGAAAAAGCTAGCCTTATGCTCCATGTCCGAGTGAAGTGGGAACACTTCAGGAAGACTGGAGGAAATTTCCAAAACCTCACCCAGTGCCGTAAGTGCCAGGGATGGGGTCACGGAACTAAAAATTGCTACATGCCAGCTAAATGCATGAATTGTGGTGATTCCTCTCACGCAAAGGACGACTGTCCTGTGAAGGAAGATCCTAAGAAATTTAAATGTTCAAATTGTGGTGAAAACCACAAATCCAATTTTTGGGAATGTAAGACTCGCAAAGCGATCCTACAATCTCGTTCTAACCGTCAGGTAGGAAACGCTCCACGTTTCCGACCAGGTACAAATTCCTCTGCTGTTAACAACGGTCAGCGAGGAACAAATTCTACATTCGTACCCGTAGGTACAAATATCTCCCCTGCTTCAAATGTTTCATCTGTACCTACTCCCCTCGCTGCTAACAATGTTCAGCGAGTTAATGGAGCTACCTATGCTGCTATTGCAACGGGTAGAAATCAAAATACTAACCAACGTTCTAACGGGAATTTTGACAATTTTGACTTAGGAAGCATTACTGCCCCTAAAATGGAATTTTTACAGAATTCATTAATTGACATGATTTCTGATATGCTTAAATCTAACTCCATGTTTGATGCTATTCAAACTGGAGTAAAATTTGCAAATAATATTGTCATGACTTTAAAATTCAGTAATGGATTTTAAAGCATTAAATATTGTAAATTGGAATGCTCGATCTCTTAAAGATAATGAAGACGAGCTATTTAACTTTTTGAGAGTTCATAACGTGCATATTGCCGTTATAACTGAAACGTTCCTTAAACCTGCCCATAAGGTTAAGAAGGACGCAAATTACTTGATTTATAGAAATGATCGTCTTGATGGACCCTGTGGTGGCGTTGCCATCATTATTCATAGACGAATCAAACACAAAATACTTTCTTCATTTGAAACCAAAGTTTTTGAAACTTTGGGAGTTTCTGTTGAAACAAAATTTGGACAACTTACGTTTATAGCTGCCTATTTGCCATTCCAATGCGTAGGCCAGCAAAAGAATTTTCTCAAGGGTGACCTCCAGAAACTTACCCGTCATAGGTCTAAATTCTTCATTATTGGTGATTTTAATGCAAAACACCGCTCATGGAATAATGCTCAAAGCAATTCCAATGGTAATATCATAGAGATAACTCTAAGACTAGAAGGTCCCGAAATAACGTGCTCAACTTTTTGGCTCAGCTCTGGTACTCTCTTCGGTCCCAAGCTAATCGATTCACCCCTCGAAACATAGGAAAAACCAATAACCCCTCATTTTATCTGTCAAACTTTCATAGCGAATCAAAACAAACATTGCGTAGTACTAGAATTTCGACTAGAATGGGGTACGTTAATCGTTTGCTTGGGACCAATAGGCTAGTCAAGTAGTGAGCCAATTTAAAATCGTTAGTTTCGTATTGATTGTTGGTAATATTCTGTTTGATGATTGTTCTGCAGGTTATTACACTATTCAATATCCAAACAGCCCAACATGCTTTTCTTCTGCAAGAAATCCCTCCACTATTGATTTGGTCTTAACTGATTCATGTCAACTTTGTAGCCAATTGGTTACCCATGCTGACTTCGGTTCTGATCACCTTCCAGTAACTTTTGAAATATCCCAAGAAATAATTTGTAATCCCAACAGCTCTACTTTCAATTACCATAGAGCTGATTGGGAGCAGTATCGAACATTTATGGAATATAACTTCGATCCAAACATTCCTTTGCAAACCAAAGATGAAATTAATTATGCTCTTGAATCTCTGACTACTTCTATAGTTACAGCAAGAGCTGCCTCAGTACCAAAATGCGAGGTTAAATTCGATTCAATTATAATAGACGACGATCTTCAGCTCTTGATCCGTCTTAAAAACGTCCGTAGGAGACAATATCAAAGAACACGCGATCCTGCCATGAAGGTTATCTGGCGGGATTTGCAAAAACAAATTAAAAAGCGATTCTCTGCCCTGAGGAACAAAACTTTTGAAAATAATATTTCTAAATTAGACCCGAGTTCCAAACCCTTTTGGAAACTCACAAAAATTTTGAAAAAACCTCAAAAGCCTATTCCAGCGCTTAAAGAAGGTGGTAAAATTTTGATCACAAATTTGGAAAAAGCTCAGAAACTTGCTAAGCAATTCGAGAGTTCCCATAATTTCAGTTTGGGTCTTACTAGTCCTATTGAGAATCAGGTTGCTCGGGATTTTCTGAATATTTTCTCTCGGGAAAATATTTTTGATGATTCCTGGGGGACTGATTTGGACGAAGTAAGGTCTATAACTAAATATTTTCAAAATATGAAAGCTCCAGGTGATGATGGAATTTTCTATATCCTCATCAAAAAACTCCCAGAGAGTACCTTGTCTTTCTTGGTAAAATTATTTAACAGATGTTTCCATTTGGCATACTTTCCTGATAAATGGAAAAATGCAAAAGTTGTTCCAATTTTGAAGCCGGATAAAAATCCAGCTGAAGCTTCTAGCTACCGTCCAATAAGTTTGCTTTCTTCAATAAGTAAACTTTTTGAAAAGATAATTTTGAATAGAATGATGCTTCACATCAATACGAACTCAATTTTTGCAGATGAGCAGTTTGGATTTCGCCATGGGCATTCAACTACTCATCAACTCTTAAGAGTTACCAATTTAATTCGTTCAAACAAATCGGAAGGCCACTCAACTGGAGTTGCTCTTCTAGACATAGAAAAAGCATTCGACAGTGTTTGGCATGAAGGTTTGATTGCTAAATTGAAAAAAGTTTAATTTTCCACTTTATATTATGAAATTAGTTCAAAATTATTTAACTGACAGAACTCTTCAAGTAAATTATCAAAATTCCAAATCTAATCGACTACCTGTTAGGGCAGGAGTTCCTCAGGGTAGCATTCTTGGGCCTATATTGTATAACATTTTCACTTCGGACCTCCCTGATTTGCCTCAGGGTTGCCACAAATCTTTGTTCGCTGATGACACAGGCATTTCCGCTAAAGGAAGAAGTCTTCGTGTTATTTGCAGCAGACTGCAGAAAAGTTTAGATATTTTCTCTTCTTATTTACAAAAATGGAAGATTTCTCCCAACGCTTCCAAAACTCAACTTATAATATTTCCACATAAGCCTAGAGCTTCGTTTTTGAAACCTAGTAGTAGTCACATAGTCACTATGAACGGAGTTCCAATTTCCTGGTCAAACCAAGTGAAATATCTTGGATTAATACTTGACCAAAAATTAACTTTTAAAGATCACATTGAGGACATTCAAGCTAAATGTAACAAATATATTAAATGTTTGTATCCTCTTATAAACAGGAAATCCAAACTTTGCCTGACGAATAAACTTCTAATATTTAAACAAGTTTTTAGACCGGCCATGCTTTACGCTGTGCCAATATGGTCTAGTTGCTGCACTACCAGGAAAAAAGCACTTCAAAGGATTCAGAACAAAATTCTGAAAATGATTTTGAAGTTGCCTCCCTGGTACAGTACAACCGAAGTACATAGAATTTCGAATGTTGAGACTTTAGCACAAATGTCCAACAAAATAATTAATAATTTCAGGCAAAAATCGTTGCAATCCTCAATTGCAACGATTAATTCCCTTTATACTTAGATAAGATTTAGTTTTAGTTTTTAGTTTTAAGATATCAATTGTTATACTGACATGCAGGTTAAAAAACCTGTTTAAAATAGTGAATTGCCAAGACATGAACAATGTAAAAACACTTAGATATATATCATAACAATTAAGGCTGGTACGTTACTGCAGTAACTGGAGCACCTAGGTTAAAATGAAATAAAATTTATTTTGAATTTGGAACAAATAAAGAGTTAAAAAAAAAAAAAAAAAAAAAAAAAAAAAAAAAGTAAACGCAATTAGTGATGTCACTAATTGCTTGTATCGTACAGGGGTTTCACTCACACAACTTAACCGATTGCTTCACCTCGGTAATCCAGCTCATTGGGTTTTGGAAACTGTGAAGAGCCATACAAAAAAATTAGAGTCCATACAAAAAATGTGACAAAGGGGGAGGGGGGTTAAAAATGTGCCAAATTTGCGTGACATAATTAATGGACCTTCCCTTGCGTCCGCGTTTGGGATTTTTCGTTACATGTCTGAATTTTGATTGTTTAATGTGAAATTAAAGACGTAGTTCTACGTAAAAAAAAAACTTTTGTTTTTTTTTTGTATGGAAAATACGAATCGTAGGTAACGAGAATATAGGTGCAGGCATGTGGGTAAGAAACGCTATTTCATCCTGTTAATCGATAACTGCACCTTGCAAAAAGTCCAATCTACAACTATTAATTATCTTGATCGACTTTCTCTTGATTAAATGGCACAACTCAGAAATTTCTTTCAAATATACGAGTGATTTGATTATTTTTAGCGAATAACTTTATTAGAAAACTTTCATCTCTGTTTGGTATGCCCAATCTATTTACAGTACGCAAAAGTTTCATCAATATAAACTTTTAATTTAAAGTACTTTTGTGTGTGATTGTACCTTTTCAACAATATACAAAAAAAAATGTAAAAATCGGTGGTCCACTAGCAGTATAGTAAAACCATATTTCAACTTAAAAGTCCAGTAAACATAGTAAAAACTTAAACTTAAGCACTTTTGCATAGATTCACCATATTTTCAGCTTTGTTTCCTTACCTAACCCTAACAAGTAGCCGTGACTTTGATTTCTCGCACCCTTCCCTGCGGTAAGCGGTGTGTTTTAAGTAAGTATAAATACTTGCTAATAGCTATACACAGTTGTTTTTGAGAGCCGTACAAAGATTGTTAATATGTTAACAATAAATTATGTATGTTTATCTATTTTATGCACATATTAGCATAGGAATGATTGAGCTCTAGTTAAAAAACGTCCACTAGTAATTAATGTCTGTGATCATACTTTTCGTATGCAAGAGTTGGAACCTAAATACCTAACAACTTAACAATTTTGATTTACTTAGTCTGGTTGTTGATCACATTTCTGTTTCCATTGTTGTATCCCATCATAATAAATACACTAAGATTCACTTCTTCTTATTTTTCTTTATTCTAAGCTCATCCATCTGTTTGATGTAGCCGTACTTGTTGATGGCGGTGTATTCGTCGTCGCACTTGAGCAGCAATTCGTACCACTGATCTCCCAGGACGCGCGGAGCATTGACGGTTCCCCCGTAGCACGGCGGAAGGCATTCCTGCGAGATGTGCTTGTACAGGGACTCACGGTCGGTACCGTGGAAAACGATACGGTTGCGCAGTTTTTCCCGAAGGATCGGCTTGAACAGGGCAAACACCACGTTGAAGATCTTTGGTTGGTTGATGATGTGGATTCCCTTGATACGCAGAGGCACGGCGTCCTGCAGCCAGTCGACGATGCGCTTTGCGAAAGGAGGCGTAAACTGCCACGCCTGTTGCATCGTTAGGCCATCCATGTCGAAGATGACCATCGCACCGTTGACCTGGGTTTCGGGCTCAAGCATGGCCGCCTCCACGAACAAAACACAACCCTTGAAGACCTCGTCCAGCGTAACTTCCTTGTGCTTCCATGGTTTGCCCAGCTCGAGCAGCAAGATGCGGCGACCCAGCTGGTCCCGGTTGGGGAACACTGCCAGGATGTTCTGCTTGAAGATGTTGGCTTCGCGCGATGGGCTCAGGTCCAGGTACATGTCCCAGTGTTTGACCTTGAATTGGTAGTAGCGTTGGATCTGTGCGGGGGAGAGAAACACAATTGTTAATGCTTCAAATTGTCAGTAATGTGAAGGGGTTGTGTCTTTGTACTAATTTTCTATTTTAATTCGAGATGTGGAGAGTCGACTGTAATGAGATTTCGTGGAATAATGCGAACGTACTGCAGTTCTAAAGGAATGCAAAACGCACACACACACAGCATTGGGTGTAATTCCTTTGTAAAACTTACCAGTTCGAAAGCACTCTTTGGGTAGAACTTGCACGGCCGCAGGAATCGTACCATCCAGTCGTCATTATCCAGGGGAACCAACAGCTCATCTTGACCTGTAGGGATGGATCAAACAGTAACGGGTAATTAATGTGGGCACATCACGAGTTTCCAGTATGTGATAGAAAATAATTTTACGGTACGCCATATTAGACATGATTGATTGATGGGTTTCCTTTCAACTACCAGCAACCAGTATGTAAGGGAATTGCTATAGGGTAGAGCGCCACTTTGTCGTAATCGCCCATTTCCGTTCTATCATTTTCATTTCATTTTCATTTTGCAGCGTTTGGTGGGGCAATGGGAGCGCAAGTCAATCCAAAGCCGAGGATAAAGGAAGGGTAATGGCTGAATAGTCTATGCGGACCACTTGAACGCCATGGGAAAAGGAAGGGATTGAAGAGGTCGGTTATTGGGGGTTTTTGAGGAAATGACACATAGTACTAGATTTGTGATACAAAATGTAAAGAAACCAAAAATCCATCTCCCACTGATTCATCATTTCACATATAGGGGAATTTACGTATTCTCGTCAATCTAAGCAGCGTCTGCACTTCTACTAGCATTTTCTCAGCGTCACGCACATATATGATGTGTCTGTTTGTTTACATTCATCTGCTGCTTGCTTCTCTATCCATTCCAATCGACAGAATTTTTCAAAACGTTTTGAAAGCGTTTTTACAACGCTCCAAACTTCTCAGGTGAGTGTGACTATTGTCGGCAGCCTCTTTTTCTTCGGCAACCTTCCCATTAGAACTGCGTGTTAACCAGCTGTTCTATTATCGGCAACTCGAAATCAACCCCATTTTGTAGTGCGTATGCTTTATTTGAAGAAAAATGTAGCATTACTGGATTGCTCGATCGTTCAAATATAATCAGATTGAAGCTGAAAGGCTAAACAATCGTTTGGACACATTCAGGGAAGTGCGTTGATGGGAAAACATAGTGAAATTAACGTTTAAATTTTGGTTGCCGAAAACAGTCAATGGGTGCCGAAGCCAACATTTACCCTATACCAAAATAATATTTTAAAGCAACCATCAAAGTAAACGCATCCCAAGTCCTTTGCTAATCTACTCAATGTTACTAGGCTGTCTAAACCCTCTTATTTAAGTTCGTTTGATGATTATGATATCTCATTAGTCTAATGTAATAAATAATTGAAATCTCTAATTTACCTAATCAATCTTATGATGCTTTATTAAGTACCTAAACTGCTATGTAATCTAAAATATAACGTGTTTCAAGTAATCCCGACCCTGATCTATATCTATCATATCTTAGATCGACCCAGGTGACACCTTCAAGTGACTAAAATGCTTCACTTTGAAATCAGTTTCCTAGCTGATTCCCAAATTATATAGGGTATATGCTCCAACTACACTCACACGTTTCCACTATGTCGTCCCACAAAATTACGTATGGATATGTCACAATGGAAGCACGCTACAGTGGAAATCCCGAACCATAGTTCAAGCACTTATCCCAAATCAAAATGAAGCACATATAAAATTAGTTACAATACCATGTACAAAAATGATGTTTAACATTGTTCCCTGAGTAATGCTTCAATGAAAACAACAATGAAAGCTTGTCACGCAAAATAGAAGGATACTTTTGGGCACTTTCTGAAATATTTCAATAGTATAATTCCCTTGCAAGCTCAAACAAATCCATCTGCGCAAAAACAAATAAAATAAGAGTGATTTGCGGAAAAACCCGCCAGTATCGCAACCAACGTCAGTGCCTATACGCGGCTCTCAAACAAAGGAGTAACAAGTGTGATACTATCATATCAGGCTCTCATGTAATGGTTCATCAGAGAGGGTAAGCTCAGTAATCCTCATCGCATGCTCATGACGCTATCCTGTCACGGCATGAGCCAACGATGCCGGACTTAAACCAACCGTCTCCAACGCTCCACTATGAAGCATAAGATTAGGCCCGCCCACCAACGTCCAGGTTAAAAACTAGCCAAGGGGAGGGCGTAATCGCCCATTTCCGTTCTATCGATCAGAAAAGATCAATGATAGGGGAAATGCAGGTAATGTCGGCCTAAGTGTCCCCAATTTGGGCCCATACATAAATTCAGCAATCGACCAAATTTTCAATAGCAACCAAAAATATCCATTAGTAACGTCCCACCCGTAAAAAAAAGAACCGTAGAGGTACAATGAAATGTATTGTAACCATACAATAGAGTTTATGGTATTTACAATAAATCGTATTCTCCTCAACGATAAAATAACAATAGAATGTATTGTTTCTACAATAGAATCTATGGTAAATTGGGGAATATACAATAGATTAAGGGGGTCGTTATGTATCTTAACCATACGAAAAATCACTTTTTCCCGAACAAACTTGAACCATTTACCATTAATTGTATTGTTGTTCTATTGTTGAAAACTCTTACTATATGGGACGTATTGTACATATATTGTAATAACAATATGCTAAAACTTCGTGTACTATATACACACAATAAGATCGATTGTTGGCAATAGATTTACTTGTAACTGTATTTTATTTTATGGTAATTGTATGGTTATTTTTTTCCGGGCAATAACGCGTTCATCTAGATAAAATTGATAACACGCGAACCAAAGTACGGCTACGCAAACCAACAACATCATCGGATAGGGGCAACTATCACCTTTCCGAAAGTGGTATTGGTTAGCGTGGGCGTACTTTGGTTCGCGTGTAAAGGGCATTAGAAAGTTTGTTTGCAAATGCTTTTGTGCCGTTATCAAATGTGTTGGAGTAAATCGGTAACGCAGTGTGCTGATCACCTCCTTGGAGACCGAACGTCACCCCTAGCAACCTAAGTTTTCTTAAATAAACAACGGTGAAAAACTTTTCATTCCTGTTCAAGACTCCACTCAAGCTAGTCGTTAAATAAAATCCATTCTACTTTTAAACTTTGCTGTTCCGGTTCTTTCTAACCATCAAGAGGTTATGGGCGACTCACGCAAGGATTTGGTCCACGGGATCCCGCAGTTCTTGGGCACCGGTTTCGACAATTGGCAATTTCGAGTGGAGAAGTATCTGAAGTCCGTGAAGCTGTTGGATATCATCAAGAAGGATCCTCCGATGGAAGCGGCCGAGCTCACGAAGTTCCAGGAAGATGACGGTAAGGCGGCGTTCCTGCTGACGTCATTTGTTCATGACGATTTGCTGCATTTGGTGCGGGACAAGGAGACGTCCAAGGAGATGTGGATGAGCCTTGAATCCGCCTACGCCAAGAAGTCCGTCTCGTCGCAGACATTCGTCAGGAAGCAACTTGCGAAGCTACGAATGATGGAAGGTTCGTCTGTGAAAGATCACCTGAAAACCTTCGAAGAGCTGATCCGACAACTGAAGCTGGCCGGAGCGAAGCTTGAAGAGAACGATATTGTGTCCCAGCTGTTTGCTACCCTTCCCGAGTCGTTCGATCCGTTGGTTACGGCACTGGAAAATCTAGGTGAGGAAAACCTAAAACTGGATGTTGTTCGCGAGCGCCTTCTTGCCGAGGAGCTCAAGAAAACCGACCGGGCAGCGGATTCCTGCCAAGAGAAACCTGCAGCATTCCAAGGATCGAAGCAGAAGCCTGGTAAGTTCACCGGAAAGTGTAACCGTTGCCAGAAGAAGGGGCACAAGGCCAAGGACTGTCGTGTGAAGTTGAAGACAGATGGGCGCGCTGAAGCTAACGCTGCTGCTGGAGGTAAGGCGGTGGCTTTTATGACCGGGAGATGCTCCCAAACAAAGGACGAGGGAGCAGTTTCCTTTAAGCTGGATTCCGGAGCCTCGGACCACCTTGTGAATGTGAAGCACTGTTTCGCCGACCTCACGAAGCTGAAGCACCCTGTCGTCATAAACGTGGCGAAGGATGATCAATCCCTGATTTCCCGGCACAGTGGCACGATCAACGGCGTCAACAAGGAAGGTAACTATATCAGCTTGAAGAACGTCCTCTTCGTACCAGATCTTCGAGCGAACTTGCTATCTGTGAAGAAGATGGCAAAAGCGGATCTTGATGTCACATTCACGAAAAAGGAAGCGATCATGAAGCAAGGTCGTGACCTGATTGCGAGATGTCCCATGCGGGGCGATTTTTACGAGCTCGATCTCCGTGTCGATACGGTGGTGGCCAACATGTGTGGAGCTGTGACTGGTAACCTGTGGCATCGTCGACTGGCTCATTTGGGGAGCAAGAGTTTGCAGACACTCGCGAAGCATGGCATGGTAACAGGTATTCCCGAGAAACCAGATAAATTGGATTTTTGTGATGTTTGTGTTCTCGGAAAGCAGTGCCGAGAACCATTCACGGGTACTAGAGTCCGTGCTACAAGACCTCTAGAACGAGTGCACTCCGATGTGTGCGGTCCAATTACACCAGCGGCTTGGGATGATTCTCGGTACTTCGTCACCTTTATTGATGATTACACGCACTTTGCAGTAGTATATCCCATCAAGAAGAAGTCCGAGGTGTTCCAGAAGTTTCGAGAGTACGAGGCCATGGCGAGTGCCGCTCTGGGACATTCGATTTCGAAGCTGACTGTCGACCAAGGGCGCGAGTATTGCTCCAATGACCAGCGTGATTGGTACGTTTCCAAGGGGATCCAAGTCGAGCCAACCGCAGCGTACACACCACAGCAGAATGGAGTGTCCGAACGGTTCAATCGGACAATCGTCGAAAAGGTGCGTGCGATGCTGATTGAAGCCCAAACTCCGAAGAATCTGTGGAATGAAGCGGTTCTAGCGGCGGTATACCTGACGAACAGAAGTCCAACCACCGCGGTATCTGATTGGAAGACTCCTGCGGAAATGTGGACTGGTCACAAGCCGGACGTTAGTAAACTACGTGTGTTCGGCTGTAAAGCATTTGCTTGGGTGTCCACGGCACAGAGGAAGAAACTGGATCCGAAAAGCAAGCCTGCTGTGATGATCGGCTATGCGCCGAACGCCTACCGCCTGTGGAACAAAGAGAAGAAGCAGTTATTCCTAGCCAGAGATGTCAAGTTCGATGAAAACAGTTTTCCGTTTGCCACCCAGATCCGTGACGAAACTCCTTTGG